CATCTTTCTAAAAAGTGTCAAAGAAATTAATACAAGGGTTTTTCTGATCTTGCATTACTAATAAAATGCATCTGAGTTTTAATTCACTAATTATTTGATGTTTTGAAATCTTAAGCTTAAGAGATTTGAACCATTTCTTAACTCTTTTTTTTTGTTTCCCGATAAGTAGAACCCTATGCAAATTATATCTTTTTTTACTTTTAAAATTTTTGTAGAATACTCTTTTCATTTTATAAGAAAAAAAAAAAAAGGTAACATGGACTACCCATAATAAAGTGACATCACTATAAAATTGATCTCATGGCCTTAAACTTTAGGACGACCCATCATAATAAGATTGATCCTAACCGTGGATTGTTCCCCCTAATCAGTGAGTGCTTCTCTTGATTACTATTTCTACTCTATTTTTATATAAAATATTAATTGACATAACATAAATTGAATAAAAAGTTAACTAACTGATTGAAAAAAACTCTATATGCATCAAGTGATGTTTTAAGATGAACTAATAAATAACTTAAATTTTATCAATTAAAGTAGCATGGATTAGAAAAGAAGATAGTAGAGTATAACCAAAGTACTTCGTAACTTTTTTTTATTATATTTTTAATTACTTTTGTTTAGAGATCTTGTGTTTATTGAATTCATAAATTAATTTATCTATTAGTATTGTCTAATGATTATAATGATTTTGAATAAGTGGGGAATAGATTAACTAATAACCTTTATCAAGACAATAATCACAAAAGAAAAAGAATCTAGTAATTATTAACTATGAAACATTAAAGAAAAAAAAAAGTTGTGTTCTTTTCAAAATTAAACTTTTATATTTTTTGTCACGCAGTTGTCTATCTTCGTTTATCATGCTATTTATTAAATCATATATAAGTATATAATTTTTAATACAAATCATATATATATAATATGTTATATTTAAAAAAATTAAAAAAGTAAAATAATTCTTATATAAAATCAAATCAATTCCCGTGACTTTGCCTCTTCATATTGTAATAATAAATAACAAAATATATTTTATGTAGCACGGGAAAATGTGAACCTCCATACCACACCCCACCATCTACCTTTGATTAGTTTATTAAAGTCGATTAGATACTAATAATCCGTGTTTTGTACGGATTTTTCATATTTTAGGAAAAGTAATTAGAAAATTTTAAATTAATTAACTTGTTTTATTAACAGCTAAGCTTTACCCTTTTAATAATATATGTATATACACACACATACATATATAATTGTATAAGCAATTGTGTTGGAAGTCTCATGGTTTAGGTGTCTTTTCGTTGCAGATTAGGTTCATAAAGCTCCATGGATGCTGTGGGGTTACGAGGAAAAGCATAAACACTAATCTTTTATTAATTGATTAATTAATTAATTAATTAGACTAATTAAAAATAATTATCTCTTTAAATATTAAAAGGTAGCGTTATGTGTCATCCTTAATAGGAGGTTTCTAGAAACCTTTGCGTTATTATCGCATATTAGAATTTTAATTTTAATCATAAACTATGTCCGGTTAAATTAATATAACAAATAATTTTTTCTCGAACAAAACATAAATGGGTCATTAGAATTTCGTACAAGACTACAATTTTAAGAAGAACATATATTATGTATTGAAATTTATGGTATGTATATATTTTGAATTACACTCTCTATAGAGAATATATATATATATGTATACATACGTATATATGTATAGATAGTAAGTTATAGTAATTGGTTGTTTAAATTAAATTAGAGTATAGTTTCGGATGAGTCACACGATCACTAGCTAGGTAAAGAGCCAATGGTTGGTGATAATATAAATTTATGTGGGTGAAATTAATTAGTGAGATTTAATGACTAAACTTAGAATGATTCCCAAGATCTTAATTATATACGATTACATAAATATAAATTAATTAATAATTAATGGTGAAAAATTATGTGATTAGTCGCTTGAAAGCAATTGATTTAGACTGTGGGGTATCCATGCAAGTCGCATGCCCTTCCAAACTTCAGGCTTATAGCAATTAGGACACCACTCTAATTAATTAAGACTAAATACCATTTTTATCTCTTTATATATTATGATAATTAATTAATTAGAGTTGTTCTAAGAATTTAAGCTGTCGAATATACTGATTATTATATAATTTATTTATATAAATAACATTAGGTGAACATTTTTATACGGGTACTTTTTGTTGGGCTTGTATAGTAATAACTATAATGCCTAAATAATTAGTTCTTTTAATTTTTTATTATTTTTATTTAATTAAATATATATTTACATATAATTAATTAATTTTAATCCTAAGATATGTATATATATATATATATTATCATGGATGGGAGATAGGAGAATCACTTGGTATATTGGATTTAATTAAATAAGAATCTATGGCAAATGTCTTGCATTTTATGGTGATTTGAAATCGTTCACTTCCAAATAAATAATAATTAATATATAAAGCACTTGTAAAAAAGAGAGGCATGTGGCTAAAACTCTCTTGTAAAAATTTGCTTTTAAGATAAGTATTCTTTTTAGTTATACAAAATATTAGTATATGTAAATTTCTTAAAATATTTTTGAAGTATTCTTTTATAATATATACACCATAGAAATTTGTTATTAACCAACTTTATTCAAATATTATTAATAATGAAAGATCACTCAATCTTAAAATGTAATAATTAAATGTTCCCTATTTGTTGGACTTATATTAAAATTTTGGGCTCTTCAATATTTTATCATTGAGTTAAATCCTCTACTCGTATATATTATCTCAGTAAACAAGTCAATTAATTAAACTATTGAGTACTTATTTCAAGATAAAATACGAACTTAATATGTTATTATCGTATTTTGTAACGGTCCCGGAAATTTAAATGAAATATATGTATTAAAAATCTCAAATGCGGAAGCGTAATAAAAATTTTGATTAACATCCCTTACACAATAATCAAAACGTACTCAAAACATGAAGGAACAAACTAACTAAAAGAGATATTTAAAATTAAAACTATAAATATAACTATAAAGTCTTTAGGCGTCCCCTTCGCCGTCTTCCTGCGAAATAAGCTCAAGAACAACGTCTTCCTGATCTAAAATGGTTAGATAAGGGATGAGCTACACCAGCCCAGTAAAGACATCATACTATCTCACCGTCACGGAAGTAAAGGTGGGTAGAAAACAAAAATGACAAATGGAACATAATTTATAACGAACTCGTTTATTAACATAAAAACCTTTTTGTAACAGCCCCGGGAAAATTTAATATTGGAAAGGCATATATATAGATAAATAATATGAGTTTGCGAAAGCGTATTAAACATTGCAATTAACATCCCTTACGCAATACCAAAACGTGTTCAACAAATGAGGGAATAAACTAATTAAAATAAATGTTCGAAAGTAAGAACTACAATTATAACTATGAGATCTTTAGGCGTCCCCTTCGCCGTCTTCCTGCGGAACGGGCTCGGGAACCACGTCTTCCTGATCTGAAATGGTTAAGTAAGGAGTGAGCTACACTAGCCCAGTAAAGACATCACTCTACCTCACTGCCACAGGAGTAAGGGTGGGTAGAAAACAAAAACGACCA